ATCGGGGGGGTGGGGGGGGGAGGTGCTTAGCCTGATAAGTTTAATTTTCCCAGAGATGGACTTTAAATCCCATTCGGTCCCTTTTTATTTTATCATTGGTTTCCCATTAGGGTGAGTTACTGTCTCGTGGTCCCAACAGCTGGTCTCTCCCATAACTGTCACCAAAACTGTCCCCTTTGGAAGATTTCCCCTCTATTCCTGTTCTGGTGAGAACCCTAAAATGTTGGTTTTCCCATCCATTTCTACCCTGGAAATAAGGGTCACCAAGACAAATAAAAAGAGTGAGTATAGGCCCTTATCAGCTTTTCATGGCCACTGTGTCCCTACTGGGGAGATCTTCCCTCAATTCCCATTAAGACAGAAAGTGATGGGAAATCCGTTTAAAGGAGATAAAGACAAAACACACACTACTTTTATTGCTCTCTGCGCCTTCCTGTCCCAGTGACAACCAAACCTATGGATTTCATAGGTACAGGAAGTGAGACATAATCTCGCAATGAGGTTACAGACAGAAATAAAAACCTATATTTGGAAGTGCAATGAGAGCGCTAGACCCGTGTGATTATTCTGTTGATGTTTCTCATCCAATACTGGTTACGTGATGTGCATTTGTGTAGTCTGGCTGATGGATGGGCAGCTATCACTGGCCTAAGGGTCTCTACAGTTTCCTTGGCTTAACAGTGAGCACAGCAGATGTAAGAATTGAAGCACCACACCTATTGAAATAGTCAAGGTACTGCTTCATTCCACTAGGGTCAGAGATTCGGGGCTTAGTGATAAAAAAAATCATGTATGTGGACTACAATCTCTGCATATTGAGCTGTGATGGGAAAGCTTCAGTCTGGTTTGGCAGCAAAATATAATCTGCATTTGGCATCTGCATTTGGCATAGACATGCAAACTAGTAATGTATATTGGTATAATAAACTAAAATTAAGGATATCATTGTTTTGATGTATCACAGTGGAATGTCCTCTGCAAAAGTCGCCGGGAGTCTGTTTAAACAGCCCCGATGCTGGCGACGTACACTGTACGTCGTCAGTCACGAAGGGGTTAATGTAACGGAAATGTGTGAACTGTAGAAGTATCCGATTTCTTGGGTTTAATCCATTTCTCTTCTTTCTTACAGTTTTTGCTTATTGAATGCCGGGATACTGTACCTATATTTTAGCAGCTTCCAACACGTAGATGAGGAAGAGTATGGAGGGACCTGGGAGCTAACAAAGGAGGGATTTATGACGTCGTTTGCGCTATTTTTGGTACGTGTCATCGTTTTCTTCTGTATTCTGACCCATAGCTTTGTGATGAGCCTCGACCGACTCCTGGCTGTGCTAAGTGGTGAAGTCAGAGCTGGAAAAAAGTAATCTACGCTAGTATTACATGTGCAATAACAATCTGGAAATATATTGGAGAACGACTTTTTTTTTTTGGTTACTTAAGGGCTGGTGCAGACTTCTGCGATCAGGGGACGCGCGCACGATCGTGTGCGGGTTAATTCAATGGGGTTACATATGCGCGGCAATCACTAAAAAGTGCATGTACCCTCTTTGGCGACACTTTTTTTAAACGTTTCGCCTTTGGCACCTGTTTTTTAAACGGCAATCGTGCACGGGCGGTATCGCATCGGGAAACCGTGTGATGTGACTGGGATGCCATTAGATATAAGGGCACCGCCAGCGCGATCGGCGGTGGTGTGCGATTCCGTGACGGCGCGGTTTTGTGCACGATTGCCGCGCAATCACAGATCGCCCAGGTGTAAACCTGGCCTACAGCCAATCCTGCAAGGCTTTCTCAAAGCTATGACGACGTTTCAAATGGATTTAAACCAACCACCATGTTGGAAAGCATTTTAGGGGAAAACATCTCCCTCTCTGCTGGGGACCTGACATACCTGGTCTGCAGCAAGCTCTGGACAGATCTTTCAGTACTCTGGACCTGCCCAGGCCATGTCTTTCAACTCTATCGGGAATTGGGTGTAGAGCACGACCCTTTTGGCCTTTTCCCAGATCCTGCTGGGAGTCATAGTACAAGTGGCCAGGTCTAGATACCTTTATAAGATGGTGATGTAGATGCAACTCATTGATTCCTCCCATCCTCGTCAGGGATGCCTTGAATATGCACTGAGCTGCGTATTATTATACAGGATTTATATAGCGCCAACCGTTGGCTCAGTGCTTTACAACATGGGGGAGACAGTACAGTTGATACAATTTCAGTACAATAGGGTTGGGAGGGCCCTTCTCGTGAGAGCTTACAATCTAGTAGTAGCGCATGTGCTTCTAATGAAGATTGTGAACAGAACGGTGGGTTTGTTTTATTGCAGAAGAATCATAGCATGTCCGGTCTGCAATAAAGATCCTGCCTGCTCACAATTTGTCCTGTTGTCCATTGGGATGTTACTACAAACTTTGCAGTGCAAATTCACGTACTCACCCAAAGTTGGCCTTTAATATTAACATTTAAAACAACTGCCAGACCAACCTGCGATTGTAGCTTGAGGGTGCGGCTGAACTTTAGCTACTATTATGAATGCAATAGCATTCCAGAGAAGCTGGCAAACTGTCCTCAGACACTGCAAGTTGTCACAGTTCTTACATTAAAGAAAGCTTGCCCAGCAGTTCTTTTACGGACACCACACTCCCTAATCTCCCAATAACTTATTAACATGCCAGTGCCTTGTGAATGATCTGTGCTGGATCTTACACAGGAAGGAGGACCTTCTCCCTACGTGACAGTGCTCAGGTCTGGCCACTTTCCACTCAAGCCCTGAAAACTGTGCTGTTTGTGAAATGGGAAAGGATCTGCTTCCTCATACCTAGGAGTAGCAGGAACTTCACAGAACTTTGGTTGACCAATGGGGTGGTTGTGGGAGCACAGGAATATGTTTAAAATCTAAGAGCTGCTTTTACTGGCTATTTGATGGTGCATGCTCCGCTTCTCTCATCCTGTAATTTCTACATTACGGAGGAATAACAAGCATGTGCATAGTGATTGCCTGAACACCTAGTATGCACATACATACTTCTTCTCCAGCGACTCACCAAGTAGGGAAACCAGGACCCAGATGACATCCCTGGGGCATGCACCTTGAAAAGTGAGTCAGCAATAGTAACTACCATATGTACATTCTGACAGTAGTTTAGGTTTGGGGTAGGCAACCTTGGCACTCCCGCTCTTTTTGGAACTACGAGTCCCATGAGCAGGGCTTGCAAAATTTTAGGGCGTCTCACTAGTCAGTCAAAAATGTCACCAGTCAGCATGACCGGAATATAGCCTTGCAATTTGTAAAACATTTTTGGGGACACACAAAGCTTGCTTTTGGAGGTATGTAATCGCCACGGGGAGAGGGGGGGGGGTTATTTTTTACTATATAATGAAAAAAGTACCGTAAATTTCTGGAAAAAAGTTTCCCTACGTTATGTTATATAACATTTATTCTTATGCATATTTTTGGTAAAATATAAAACTCGGGGTGACGTTGGGTAAATAGACACCATACATGTCAAGCCTTAAAATTGTGCACGCGTGCAAAATCGCAAAAAACGACCACACTGAAAATTTGCCATAGGTGACGTTATAAACGCTTTTATTGTTTAGTTTATGGCCCTAAAATTATTGCTCCCACTGCGACTTTAACGGTGATATGTAACGTGCGGCACAATAGGCACAATTGTCGTTTTCGCACGTAGGCACACCCGACGCATGTTTGCGTGTGTGTGGGGGGCGGGGGACAAAAAAAAAATGTGTGGGTTTTTTTTTTATAACTTTTTTTTTTTGTTTGTTTTTACACAACTTTATTGCTATCACATAGCGGGCTAAAAAGCTCCCTATGTGATAGCCAATTTACATGACAAGTCCTCAAAGACCTCTATTGTCACCCAGGGACCCCCAAAGAAGCTGATGAAGCAGAGATCTGCTTCACCAGCTCCTCCCCAGCTTCTGAAGCTTGAGAGTGACACAAGAATGCGGAAGTGATGTAATATACATCACTTCCTGCGTTCGGGGACTGGAGAGGAGATCAGAGGGAGATTGATCTCATGTCACAGAGCAGCCGTGCCGGTCTCAGCGTATCTCGGGACCGGCAACGGCAGTGACAGCTGCTGGTAATACAAGCGATCGGGCGTCTCTAGAGACGCCGATCGCTTGACTGTAAAATCGGGCGCTGGCGAGAGGACGAGCGGATTTTTCAAGCCCTGCCCATGAGGCATTGCAAGACTCTTGACATGCTACAGCAGGGGTAGCAAACCTCATGGCCCTCCAGTTGTGGTGAAACTACAAATCCCATGATGCATCTCTCTTCGGGAGTCGTGGCTGTGAGAATCTTGCAATGCCTCTTGGGATTTGTAGTTCGACCACAGCTGGAGGGCCGGAGGTTTGCTACCCCTGTGCTACAGGCATGACATCCAGATGCCTGTAGGATTTGTAGTTTCATCACAGCTTGAGTGCCAAGGTTGCCTACTCCTGGTTTAGCGTGTAGGTGGAATGTATAAGGAAAATTATTTGCTGCAACCACAAGGTGGTGCTACACCCCAGAATTTGTTCACACTGTTAATTCTTACTTGTCACTTTAACATATGCTTCTCTCCCTCTCGATCTCAGAATTGGCATATATGTTTTAGTTGAGGGTAATTCAGGACTTGAGATGAAAGCACACCTATCAAACCTAAATGCATTGTACATTAAAAAGTAATGGTCGTTCACTGGCTTAACCTTAGTGTAATGAAGTAAGACTGAACCCCAACTACACCCTTAACTGGTACTCAACCCATAAGGCCTTGTACGCATAGGCTGTGGTTAGTATACAAGCACGGTGTATGTACAGCAAGCTTTTAACAAGCATTGGGCATCTCTGTTGAAACTTTTAAAGCAAGCCTCAGCTTTAGGATGTTAAACATGGATCTGAATGGCAGTGATGGCTATCACTTTAGACATGCCGATAGCAGGCTTTTCATCATGTTTCCTCTAGTGCTAAAGCTTACTGAAGCAACAGCTTGTTTAACATGACAGCCTATTAAGAGATCCTTATTAAGATTTCTCTAACATTTCCTAGAGCTGAATATTGCTTTAAAGTTACATTAAAGCCTACATCCCCCCTCCCCCCATGCTGGTGTAAGGACTTACCTTAAATGATGCCTCTTGATCTGATCATCATCTTCAGGAGACCCTCCAGCGCTGGTGCCGGTCTCTGATCCAGCGCCGACTCCTGTCTCTTCCTGTCCCACGCAGGTGCACGCTGTCTCCATTGACTTACCTTGTGTCTCTCATCTTCTCCTGTCCGAAGATCTGCGCATGCGCCCGCCCCATGATCCTTTGTGGCCGCCCGAGAATCTTCAGATCTTTGGACGGGAGCACGCGGTGGAGACACAGGTAAGTATTAACCCTTTTGTTAACTTTAAAAAAAAATGTTTTTGCATATATCTACTGCTTGCTAGCAGTAGATATATGCAAAAAATGTGAGGGTTTAATAGTCCTTTATTGAGACACTGTCACCTTGCCCATGCCAGGTATAGTGATAGTGTGTCTGCAAAGCCCAGTTTCCCACCGCCCCCATATACTGCCTGTGCTTCCTTGCTGATCCTGCCTTGGTCACAGTCAGTGACACTAGGGTATGGTGGAGCATGTGACCTCCTCCACTGTGACAGTGCTTGGGCCTAGGTGCCAATGAGTTGGCCTGAGCACTGTCAAGTACAAGCGAGTGACATCACTGATTTCCCCCATTTCGCAGACACTCATTTTAATGCCAGGTGGGATGGACAAGGGAGCGCGGACAAAGGTGAGTATGAAGGGGTGGGGGTGCCCCTTGCGGAGGCACTGTCACTTTGCCTTGTCTTTAACAAAGCTGATTGAAAGCTATTTGTTACAGCTTGCTGTTCACATCATTTTTATACAAAGCAATGGTCATGTGTACCTCAAGGGCTCATTCACACTGGGTGCAGTGCGCTCCGGCCCGATTTTGGCCGGAGCGCACTGCCTCGCATTGTGGCCGGCTCACTTTTTAGTGGGGCAGGAGGGGCGTGGCAGGCCATTCAAATGAATGGCGCCGTAGCCACACCCTCCGGCCACAATGCGATCCGCCGTACGGAATCGCAAGGCACATTGTGCCTGCGGTCCGATCCTGTGCAGTGCGATCAAAATGCTACAAGCTTTTTTTCTTTCTTTCTAATTTCCCACTTAGTTTTCTCTCTTACTTTTGGTCTTCCCTTTTTTTCCCCCATATTGTCGTCTTTCGCCTACTTCTTGTCATGTCTTTTGGGTTTGTGTACTCTCTGTATGTCTTCCCCTGCCTGAGTACTGTCTACCACTAGGAGATACAACATGGTCTTTTATTTCAACTCCCATACTACTGGTATGAGGCTTAATCTACAGGTGCCATGGCTGAAAACCGCTTTAGGAACCCACCCATGGGCCCTATACTCTACTGTCCCCTATGGGCATGTGATTGTCCCTAATGGAATATGTGACTCTTTAATATCAATGCCTCGTACGTGATCGGGTTCTATTAACATCTGTACCGTGTTGCCCCCTACTTTTTCTACTTTCTACTGTTTGTATTCTTTGTGCTGAAAATCTAATAAAAACCGATTGTTTACAAAATGCTACAAGCACTATTTTGATCGCACAGGACCGCAGGCACAATGTGCTTTGCGATCGGGTGCGGCGGATCGCATTGCGGCCGGAGGGTGTGGCTACGGTGCCATTCACTTGAATGGCCCACCACACCCCCTCCTGCCCCACTAAAAAGTGAGCCAGCCGCAATGCGGGGCAGTGCGCTCCGGCCAAAATCGGGCCGGAACGCACTGCATCTAGTGTGACTGAGCCCTAAACCTAGGGCAGTAACTAGTATTATGCAAGTAAACTTTTAGCAAAGCATTAAAAAACAAATCCCAAAATGACTATTGTGTACATAGTGACTGAATTAATTAAGTTGTTTTTCCTTTTTCTTATAGGTTGTTTGGGTAATTTTTTACACAGCTATTCATTATGATTGACAATAATTTTCTAACATCCCTTTTGCCAAATTCCACCATTTTGTCAACTTGAAAAGATTCTTCATCTTATTTTTAATACAAAACCGTAAAAAACACCTACAGTGAACGCTGATGATGAAGGGGACAGGCAAATATTTTTTTCTTATTTTTTAATACCATTGAGTTGTGCAGTAGACCTGGGAGGATCGGCTTGCAGGTGAGGACTATCGCCAAATGTACGTGAAGTTGTTTTCCTGCATCCTCCGGCTCTAATTCCAGGGCCTCGATGGCGCACACAATTTTTAATCATCTCAAAGGAAAAGAGTACATTTTCTACTGTGGCATCACAAGCATGTCCATGGTTTTCTTACGACGGCAGCCTGGGATGTGAAACGGACGGTCTTGGCAATAAGTGTGAATGCTCAAGCATCTAGATGGGAACTTTATTGGAGTTTTTAATTATGGGTTGACCAGGCTTTCAGTTATAAAAGCATCCGCAGTTCCGCACATCTTTTGTATTATCCACCAGCTGAAAGAATGTCTGACTTCCGTGTAACTGAATAGCCTGCCCAAGTTTTTTTTTTTTACTGTTTTATGACGTTTTCATATTCTACTGCCCCTTTTGGATCACAGTTCTGCTATTCCAGAAACATTGGAAGGATTGGCAATGTGGATTAGGTTTTGCTGTCCTGTAAGGCTACACAGTATTGAAACGAGACTTTATTTAACCTGGTATGAATGTGTTTTACAATTAAAGATCTGATTTGTTGAACTCTTTCTGTGGTTATTTGTGTAGGTTGGGAATACATCAGGGTGCTTGGCTGTCATGAGACGAGAAGTTTTAGTTCAATAATAAATAAAGCTGGTAGATTTGAACGTCGTCATGACTGTGGTACTAGAAAGGGATGTCCCGATTCAATTTTTTCAAGACCCAAGTACTTTCCCTCAGGTACTCACTGATACCAATTACCAATACAATTTTCTTAAAGGGACGTGACATTTTTTTCTAAAACAATACAGACTAATGATTTTAGGGCAGGATCTCACCAGGGCTGCGTCCAGATCTCACCAGGGCTGCGTCCAGATCTCACCAGGGCTGCGTCCAGATCTCACCAGGGCTGCGTCCAGATCTCACCAGGGCAATCCATGGACCCATCGCACTCCTGACCGTTTGTTCCACAAAAATCAAGATGGGTGCTGCGGTAGTCAACGGATGGCAACCGTTATCTGCATAAGTAGAAACAGGGACACCGGAACTCCAAATGCATCTATTGACGTAGATGCAGCATATCACACTGGTGCAACGTTTTGAGGTCTCGCAGGATCCCCTTCCTCAAGCAAAAAATTTAATGTTTTTGCTTGAGGAAGGGGATCCTGCAAAGACCCCGAAACATTGCACCAGTGTGATATGCTGCATCTACGTCAATAGACGCATTTGGAGTGCAGGTGTCCCTGTTTCTACAGATCTCACCAGGGCTGCACGGCGCAGACAAGTAACAGAAAACCGGCTCCAGGGCTGTATGTCCGGCGTGGGGCTGTCCAGTGCTGTGCCTACGCCGGGAAAGGAGTTGCAGGACCAGGTAGACATTTTCAAAAACAGCTACTGCCAGGTCCCAAGCAGGCTGCCTGAGGTCCCCACAAGTGCGGGGACCTCAAGCAGCCGATCCAGTTTAAAATGTAAAAGGCCGGTATCGGGACATTTTCACAAGTACAAGTACTCCTAAAAATGCCCTGTATTGGCCCTGATAGTGGTATCAGTATCGGGATATCCCTAGTACTAAGGAATCTTTGCCCATTCCTCATGGGCAATGGCCTCCAGTTTACTAATATCCTTTGATTTGCGTGCTGCAATCCCACCAGAGATTTTCTATGGGGATCAAGTTAGGTGACTGTAATGGCCACTGTAGGTTCTTCCAGGACTGCTTCTGCAACCAAGCCTTGGTGGAATTTGAGGTTTGCTTAAGATCATTGTCCTGTTGGAAGGTCCAATGGCATCCAAGCATCAGCTTCCTCACAGACGACATCACGATTTGTCCAAGAATTTCCAGGTACTTCAATTAATCCATCTTGCCTTCCACATGCTGCAAGTTTCCAGTGCCAGAGGATGCAAAGCAGCCCCAGAGCCTCACCGAGCCACCACCTTGCTTAACTGCAGACAGGGTGTTCTTTTCAGTGTATGCTTCATTCCTGCTCCAGACAATACCGATGATCCATAGGGCCTCAGAGCCTGTTGCCACCAAGTCTTGCTGCAAGTCTTTTGCAGTCACTCTGGTTTTTCTTGACCTGCCTTCTCAGAAATCTGGTTGCAGCCATTTTTCTGCCCCATGCAGGTAGTATAACCACTGCTCTTCTAACTTTGAACTTGCGAACTATGCTACAGATGGTGTCTCTAGGAACACTCAGTGCCTTCGCTATAATTTTGTATCCTGTTCCTTATTTGTGAAGAGCAATGATCTCTTCTCTTAACTTTTTTGACCATTCTTTTGATCCATATTTCTAACATGCAGTCAAACATGACACTCAACAAACCCCTAGCCAGATATTTAATGTGTTCTAGTTCAAGCACACCTGGTGCAAGTAATGAAGCCCTTGATTACTTGCATCGGGTGTGCTTGAGACAACACATGTTTTGCAGATGTGTGTTCTTGTGAGGGATTCTATTCAGGGGATCGAATATTATTGAGACTGCAGATGTCATTAAAAGTTTCATTTTCAGTTGAATATGGGAAAACCACTTGAAACATTTGTTGTGTTGAACCTGTTTCAATTATCCTGTATGATTTGTTCATTGCAAACAACTGGAAGTTTGTACATTTTGCCAATAAACCTTAACACCTGTAAGCTTCCTCCTGACATACAGTTGATATCTGCCCCAATGTCCAACTGCTGGAGCTACAGCTACAAATAGGTTATGTTCTAAGTGAGGAATGACATTTGGATATTTCCTCATGGAAGCCCGGGTTACCTGACGGGAAAAAACACGGTTGTGGGTGAGCCCTGTAATTAAGGAAGGGTGCGGTGATCGGGTTGGGAAACTCTCCTGTTTGGCTTTTCCATGGAGAAAAGATCACAGCCGTGCTGTTTACCTAGCAGTGGAAAATAATTAGGGACAACTGAACATTGCGGTTGCTGATAGATAATCATAGGAGTGTTTACTAATGTAACTAATACCATTTAAAGTGTATTTCCACTTTTGCAGCCAAATTGAGTAACACTGATTTTATATTTGTTACACGTTCCCATTCACATCGAACTTAAAAATAATAATACATTGCTGCTTGCATAAAACTTGCTCAATTCGCAAAGAAAAGTTTTTATCTGTACTGAATTCTCCTCTGGAATGCAAGGGGGGATGTGGAGGGCAAGGGTTACGATAATTAAACCTGTCCATGCTGTGCAGGCAGATCTCCATCAGTTGTAAAATAGATTTAAACATCGCCCGTCCTAACAAAGGGTTAAAGATCTAGGCCAGGGTTAGGCAACCTCTGGCATTCCAGCTGTGGTGAAACTACAAGTCCCATGAGGCATTGCAAGATTCTGCCAGCCAGAGGCAGATGCATGATGGGATTTGGAGTTTCCCCACAGCTGGAGGGTTGGAGTTTGCCTACTCCTGATCTAGAAGCCTGGCCTCTTTCGTTGTTTTTAAATGAGGGGGAGCTAAGCCTGTCCTATAGCTGGCCATACACTATGCAGATTTCTGGCCATGAACTGGCCGAAATTTGCTGTCAGCACCTTTTCGGCCGGCATCCCTCAATCAGCTGATCGAAGGAGCTCAGCCAATAAACTGCCAGCTCTGTTATCGGACAGGACGTAAAGGGAAATCTCCCCAATGGGACACAGATGGCAAAAAAACCTAAAAGGCATTATAACCCTCCCTTAGGCCCCTTTCACACAGACGCCTGTCGGTTCCTGTCATAAGAGGATCTATGCATGGATCTGCTGATCAAAGCAGTTCGGAATGGATTTCAGTGATATCTGTGTCTGTTCAGTTTTGAACTAACAGGACCTATATTAGGATTATGGGGAGTCAGATGTAAGTGGATATGTGTCTGTTTACATCAGAATACCCCCCATCACAATCAAATCCACCAAACTCTTTGGTTTTCCAGAATGGCTGGATTAGGGGGCAATCGGATGTAAACAGACACCCGTCTGTTTAGATCTGGCTGCCCATAGACTAACATTGGGTGGCCGATCAGATCCGTCTGAAAAACTGACCTGATTGGAACACCCGTCCAGAAGTGCTCTTACTATTTTCAATGCTAAAAAAAATGTTTTAGCTTCAGTTTTACACCAGCAAAACAGCCGCTGCCATTGTGAATATGCTATTTGCTTGGCCATCGTGCTCATCCAGCTGCTAACTTCAAGGGCTGGTTTACACCTGGGCGTTTTACATCGCGTTCCTACGCTCTGTAAAACGCTCAACATGTAAAAACCAATAATTGCCTATGGGCATGGTTCCCACCTGGGCGTTTTACAGGGCGTAGGAACGCGCTGCAAAACGCCCTACGCCCAAAGAAGTACAGGAGCTTTTTTGGGGCGTATTTGCCGCGCTTATCCATTGGGATACAGCCAGGTAGCCCTCGGAAACGCGCGTTTGTCACGCGTTTTTTTTTACCGTGAATCACGGTAAAAACGTGTGGCACGAAATGCGTGACAAACACGCATATTCGATACACCTAGGTGTGAACCCAGCCTTAAGCTTACCACATACGTTATAATATGACTGTACAATCTTCTTTAGATCTACCAACAAATACTCAATGGAGGGGCTTTCCTGATTGGATACATATTGATTGTATAGTTGAAGTAAATTATATTACAAAGTTTTTGGAAATTGAGAGAAGATTGTACAGCTGTTCTACAGTCAGATTGGAAAGTTAAAGGGTTAGTTTACCCATTCACAAAAAAATAATTAATTCACAATACCCACCTGTCTACCAAATCCCCATAAACTGCCCCCCCCCTCCCGGTCCCCACTGCACTTATCAGCAATGATGACCATCACTCACCACCCACACCAGACTGTATAATGGTCCCAACACTTATTAACTTCACTACACAGCCCCTGAAGTTGTATAGCAACATAATGCTTGCAATGAGGAACAAGAATTGGCCACTGCGGCCTTGTGGCTGTGCTGACCAATCAGAATATCTTCTGAGCCTTTTTTCTTTCGGCATCTTGGAATAAAGAATAGATTCCCAATGGTCAGTATTGTCACTTGACCAATGACAATTCTTAATTGAAAGCATTATGTTGCCATACAGCCTCTGCAGCATTGGTCAGCATGACCTCATGACTGTGCTGACCAATTAGGATATCTTCTGAGCCTTCCTCCTTCCGCCACCTTGGAAGAAAGAAGAGATTCTCAATGGTCAGCAGGCATGGTCACAAGACCTCCTCCAAACTAAAAGTCCTTTCATTTATAACAAGATGCCATAGGTCAAAACCGCCAAATGCATTTTGGGGTTTTTGAGAAACACCCCCCCCCCTTCATTAGGGTTAAAAGGCAGCCATTTATACACATGTAACACCTTACTCAAAATGCATAGGGCAGAGCCAGTAGTAGTGACGAGGTTACCTGACATGGGTGTGACCCTTGCATGATTTTATTTATTGCTGAAGCTGCATTTGATTTGCTTTTAATATATAGGGGTTGATATATGACATGTGAGATGTATTCTCCTTCCACCCACAACAAGTGGAGGCATCCCACTTTCTTTGATATACAGTTTGACCTCGGGTGTGTGTCCGGTCAAAATCGCCATTTTACTGATGTGTGTTTTATCTATCAGCATGCAACATAAGGAAAAGCACAGGATCCTTTTATATATCTTTTGGACTGTTGCAGCAAAAGATACATTTTAAATTTGCACATTAAACCCTTTCGCTGCCAAGGCCTTTTTTTCGTTTGTTGCACAAATGATATAATCCACATTTTAGGCCTGAAAATTACTTCAAACCCTCAGAACATTATATATTTTCTGAACGCCAAGACCCTGTAGAATAAAATGGTGGCAGTTGCAAGTTTTTATGTTGCACAATATTGGCGCAACTCTTTATCAAGCCCAAATATTTTGTGAAAAATGCACTTGTTACTTTTAGTGCCCCAAAACACAACAAAATACCCAGTTCCTTATAAAATATAAAAGATGATGTGACGACGCGTAAACAGATATCTAACATGCCCAGGTTAAAAACTGCGTGTGTCTGTGAAACGGTGACAAAATTCAGTACTCCAAAAAGTCTATTAAAGGTGCTTTAAAAGCCCCTACAGGTCATACGTTTAGAGATAGGCATAAATATTGGCCCTAGAATTATTGCTCTCACCATGGTGTGTGCAGTGATACCCAACATGTGTAGCGGGATCGATGTTTCATAGGTAGGAGCACCCGACGTGTGTTTGTGTGAATGCATTCGCGCTCGCGGGGGCGGGGGACTTCAAAAAAATTTTTCTAATTATTTTTACATTTATTATATTCTATATAACTTTTTTAAATTGTTTTTTTTCCTTTACTTTACTTTAATTGCCATCACATAGGGGGGCTTACAAGCTCACCATGTGATAGCATTTTGGCAGTGTCAGGTCCTCTTTAAGGTGATATTGGGGGTCCAAAAAAAAACCCTAGTATTACCATTCCACTTTAAATTAACAATTGAAGTGCAGATTGCGCCGATCTCCTCCCCAGCTTCCCGCTGGCACTTGACATGCCGCTACCGGGCCCGCAGGAGGTTGGCAGGCACTTTACCGGCCCATAAAAGCGATTTGGTGGCAGCTGAGCCGCCAGAATCTCTTCTATTGTAAATCCAGAAGCCGGCTTTACAAAAGGTAAAGAGAGTCCCGGCGGCTAATCTGTTTACAGGGCCGTGCTGCCAATAACGTATTATGTATGTCCGTGGTCGTGAAGGGGTTAAACAAAAATTAAGAGCAGTTCAGCTTTCACTGCTTTTAATGATCTCCATTTTTTTTAGCAACAACATGAAATAATAAAACAAAACACACAAAAATAAATGTACATCAAAATACTTTTGTAAAACACAAACTTTTTTTTCTTCATAGTCAACAAAAAACTGAAATGTCATTTTTTTTTAAATGGCAACTCTGCAGCAATCCAAACTGGTGTTGGTCCAGCTACAGGTTTTGTCTGCAAAGCTCTTCCAATGCTGCACCTGAAAATTCCCCTCGGATGTTGTTGTAGCTCTGACGTTCACTAGAATTCGTGCTGTACGTTTGTCCAAACAGTATTCTTTATCGCTGAAGATGGAGCATCAGCCGCCTTGCCTGCAGCCTTCTGGGCTCTGGTAGATGCACATGTAATTGTCAGAGAAAAATCTCTTAGAAAGGGTGTCCAACTTTGTGAAGTCTAAAGCACTGAATTCCTCCTCCGACATTGACAGATAATCCCCAAGTTGTGGACAGGTTCGGACCATGGGGACATTTGCACCAATTCCATTGCCTGTTTTATAAAAAAAACGGCATTAATAAAGTGGTTCCATTCCCGTTACATTTTGGATGTAGTGAAAATTCCAACAAATGAAAACTTTATAAGGAAATAAAATTAGTTTTAAATGTTTTTGTAACTATATGTATACAATATCTGGTTTAAAGTCAACATTTAATGCATGGAAAATGATTCCCAGAGCACAGTGGGTTATCTAACAGTGACTGCATCCAAGCAGATGTAGTCTTGGTTTGGGTATTGAGGCAACTCCTGATGCTACAATTGCCTTAACACAACAGCTGGCATCGGAGATTCCTCCATCCATGCTGTTTAGTCTGGATGGAGGACTATATTACTTTGATACGCCCTATATCTAACCTGGTTGTCTAATTCTCTTTAAATTGCAAAACTCATACTAAGGGTATCAAATGTTTATAGTGCCTAAGGAAAAAAGTATAGCCACATGGTAATAAAGACACTTCCATGATAAACCAGGATACAAATACACTGATCAGCCATAACATTATGACCACTGAGAGGTGAAGTGAATAACATTGATTATCTCTATGATGACCTCTATGAATAAGCCGTACAGTGAAATGGGTAAGAGGGTTTGTTTGGTTTAGGGAGCTTTTTTGCGGTGTATGTTCTTTTCTTGGTCTACAACAAAGATTGAAGTTACTTGCTTAGACCTGTGGAGTGCGGGTTTTTGGATCAAATTGATTATCTTGTCACAATGGCACCTGGAGGTGGGTGGGATATATTAGGTAGAAAGTGAAAATTTTGTCTCGGAAGTTGATGTGTTGGAAGCAGAAAAAATGGGCAAGTGTAAGGATTTGAGCGATTTTGACAAGGGCCAGATTGTGATGGTTAGATGACTGGATCAGAGCAACTCTAAAACTGCAGCTCTTGTTCCCGGTCTGCAGTGGTCAGGACCAATCAAAAGTGGTCCAAGGAAAGAGAATATGTGAACCGGCGACAGGGTCATGGGGGGGCAAGGCTCATTGATGCATGTGGGTAGCAAAGGCTGGCCCGTGTAGTCCGATCCAATAGAAGAGCTACTGTAGCTCAAATTCTTGAAAAAGTTAATACTGGTTCCGATAGGTGTCTGAACACACAGAGCATCGCAGTTTGTTGCGAATGGGGCTGCGGCCAGTCAGGGTCCCCATGCTGACCCATGTCTACAGCTAAAAGCGCCTCATTGGGCACATCAGCATCAGAACTGGACCATGGAGCATTCGAAGAAGGTGGCCTGGTCTGATAAATCATGTTTTCCTTTACTTCATGTGGATGGCAGGGTGCGTGTGTATTGCTTACCTAGGGAAGAGATGGCACCAGGATGCACTATGGGAAGAAGGCAAGCCGGCAGAGGCAGTGTGATGCTTTGGGCAATGTTCTGCTGGAAAACCTTGGGTCCTGCCATTCATGTGGATGTTACTCTGAAACGTACCACCTACCTAAAAATTGCTGACCAAGTGCACCCCTTCATTGAAATGGTATTCCCTGATCTTTTAGTAGGATAATGCGCCCTGCTACACTGCAAAAATGGTTCAAGAATGGTTTGAGGAACACAACATTAGCCTGAGGTGTTGACTTGGCCTCCAAATTCTCCAGATCTCAAGCCAATCGATCATCTGTGGAATGTGCTGGAAAAACAAGTCCAATCCATGGAGGCCCCACCTCGCAAATGTCCAGTGGAGTCCATACCTCGATGGGTCAGGCAAAAGGGTAACCTACTCAATATTAAGCTGGTGGTCATAATGATATGGCTGATCGCTGTGTGTCTCTAGCTATTCATCTTAACTAATGGCATCAGATCAGACCTTTATCATCTAAGACAAACTCATTGTAACTGGTAAAGTTGTACAAGATAATTCCACGGAACAATAAACCACCTTGTGTTTAGCTTGCAGTGTTTTTCACCTAGCTGTCTGCTTTAATCCAGTTTAACCGTGATAGGATAAGCATTGTAACACACTTTTCATTTGTTTTCCCAGATCTGCTTTAATCCCTTATAAATGGTAAGGTTATACTCCCTTGTTATTTCTGCCGGTCAGGGGATTAGGTATGCTGAAACATCTTTGATTGTGCAATTGCAGCAGTGCCTGCTCACCTTAGAGTCTTGCTGTAAGGACATGTTCCTTACTTAAAGGAGAACTATGAGGTGAGTGCTTTTCCCTCACCTCATAGTTCTAGCCGACCTGTGACAATGAGACTGTCACAGGTCGGCTCTATTGATCGGGAAGTGAGCAAACACATACCGGGTTCGCTCGCCTCTCGATCCTGTCACGGCTCTCTGCCGTGACAGGGGGAAGGGCTGGATTCCCCTCTCCCCGCTCCGATCTGCCAGCGCTGACTGGCGGAACGGACGGGGGAGGGGGCGGGTACAGCTGGCTCTGCCTCTAGATAGGCAGAGCCAGATGTCACTCACGCAGCTGGGCGGATCCCGTCATCTACATCGGGATCCGCTCCGGCTGCGGCGTCTCAGTATACCGCGAGCTATAGCTCGCGGTATACTGAGCTTAGGGTAATGGGAGGACGCTAGTTTGTGTCCTCCTGTTACCCTAAGGAGAACTATGGGGAAAAACACTGACCCCATAGTTCTCCTTTAACCCCTTTATGACTGTGGATCTCAAGCAGTGTTTGGGGCTGCTGTAAAACTGGTCCTCTTTTGCTGAATCTTTCGGTAGGACTGGGGTGACCTCCAAGTCGGTTTGTCTTTAATTAACATATTGATATATATCAGGGGTAGCCAAACTTCAGTCCTCCAGCTGTGAGGAAACTACAACTTCTACCATGCCTTTGCCTCTGGAGGTCATACCTGTTGCTGTCAGAGTCTTGCGGTGCCTCATAAGATTTGATGTTTCACAAGAGCTGGAGGGTCAAAGTTTGGCTACCCCTGCTATGTATGTTCCAGAACAGGTACTGCTATAGATTAGAGTAGGATGGCTTTACGTAGCAAACAGTTTATACATATATCTGCAAAATCATGTAGCTGACACCTCCGTCTTTATTATACAGACCCATTCTCACATGTGCATTGTGGCAACACGCACTAAAACGCATGCTGCCGCAATGCACAGCAAAACACCTGCTATGTGTTGCAGTGCTATTCACTGTGAATACCACCACAATTCAATTTACAGTACAGCACAATGCACAACACACTGCAATGTATATACCATGGGTTGTGGTGCACTATGTTGTAAAAAAAAAAGGCCATACACCATCTGTTATCCTTTGTGGTGCGTTGAGTTTCCTAATGCAATGCAGGTTAACACATTTGCATTAACGCACCCCAACAAAATGCTTTGGCAGGACTCAGGACTGACTGCTGGCCAGGTCCTAATGCACATGTGCCATATATAACTTATGGCAGGACCCAGGGGACATCCCTAGACTTTTTTATGCCGTCTAAAGCTGAGGGGCATTGGTGCTGGCAGGGCATGATACGAGGTGGGGGGGCACGATACCGAGGGGGCTGGGGGGGTGGTCGCTGGCAGTGCACGTTACCAGAAGGTGGGGGTGGGGGAGTGGTACCTCTAGCTCTGGTGTTCCAGCTAGCTCAATGATGTCACTGGTTGCCACCAGCTAACAGGAATGCAGGTCAGAGCGTCCCAGGTTCCTAGGAGCTCTTAGCACCCCGGGACGCTCTGGTAAAAGGGGGGCGGCAGGCACTCCTCCGCCTTCTCCCCTCTCCCATGTGACCCAATGAGATGACGCTTGAGGCAACCATCCCGGGCTACCTCATTATAGGGATGGCCCTCGCTGGGCCCATACTTATGATAATCTTGAGCCAAAGGAATGAATGGGCCAAGCACGGCACATATGCAGTACTAGCTGAACGATGTAAGGACTTTTTTAAGCAAAGACTGTGCAGCGCCAGGCAATGCCACACAATAAACATCTTAGCAGTGGAGCTGAAAGTAAGTATTCAGGCAAACGGGATGGGGGTAAAATTTAAAGGAGAAGGCCCCACCTGGTTTCTAAGCCTTTCCCACTCAGCAAAAATAAGACATTTTGGATGGAGTTCCAGTTTGGGAACATAGTATTAGATTAAGCAGAGTACATGGGGAAGTGGGAAAGATGGGCTCTGTGGACTTTCCCTTTAACCACACGGGTATCACATACCTATCTTTCCTGCCATGCTGTCAAAGAACACCCAGGAGTTTTTGCCCGGTCCATATTTCACAAAGGACACAAAGTGACTGGTCTTGATGCAGAGAACTGCCAACAGCTCCAGTTTTTGTTGTGTAGTTGAAGCTCCGCTCTGGATTTTCAGCCTAGTAGGCCTGTGGTCACTCATCTGTTTGTGTGAATGAACCTGCAGTGGGTTAAACAGAAGCAAAATATTAGACTCCACCCTACAGACAAGGCATGCTCAAAATATGAAATGAAAACATATTTTATCACTGATCATTTGTTGAAATACTCTGTTAATGTATCAACTGATGACACAGAGACACAGATATCACAGAGCCTGCCTTCTGAACTACAACTCCACATCTGAACAAAGTAACATTATCATTGCTTGCTGGAAGCAATGCATAATGGGACATGTAGTTTTGAGATATGGAGATTGCATCACATCAAGCAGCAGGGAAAGAGATGCAAAGCACACTGGAAATCCAGGAAGTTGTTGGAAGTGATGGGCAGACAGAAGGCAGCACTCACTACATGAAAGGGATTTTTTTAACTAAGCTTTGATTGTATGATCAGAATTAACTCTAGTATCTATTCCTATTACAATGGTGATGTTATAACAGGAGAGGATATGCTGGGACTTTACAACCCCTTTAATATTGTAGTCCCATTTAGAGATATAGGTGACACCCAAGTACAATAATACTGTACTGTCTCATGGACTCATGGAGCTCTACCTGGAGACATGAGACAGTATTTAAAAATTATCCACATATCATTTTTGCTTCATGTCTCCATTCGTACAGATATGATGGATATAATTTAGTAAAAAATGTCTTGTTTTTTATATTTTTTCTTTACAGCAGCCCTGGACCAAGATTGTGTTCCATGTGGGGTGGCAAAAAGGTAGAATTAAAGAGGAACATTACCCATACTGTTCAAATGACAACAAAGACACCTTTAGAAATGTTTCGTAATGACAATCTACAATCACATACTTGTAGATAATTGTCGGCTTTTTATCCTTTGCACACCTGATTTTTCTTTTCTTCCCCATTATTCTGACAGTGGCCATTTTTTACTAAGGGCAGATTGATATGTCCCCCTTTACTTCCTGGAACTCTGGCACATGTGACTAGGACATGTGACCACGCACCTCATCTCAGGAAAGGAAAATGCTTTTCCCTGAGATCTTCTGAGATTACAGATGAGATTTCCCAGTAATGATCTGCTGATGTAACCTTCCCAGGATGCAATGCTTGGGCACATTACATCACTAATGCCAAAGAGGACCAGGAAGTGGAAAAACAGTAATTGTAAGTAAAAGAACAGTATATTTGTTAAGCTAATGAATGTAAGATGATTTCATATCTGCATGCAAAGATGAAGGCTGATATGATTTTTAGTGAAAGGGGTTAAAGGTCCGCTCTAAGGTAGGAGTCCAAGCAGATATTAGGCTTAATTGACAAATGCCTATAATGTGCAGTACTTTTTGCTCGCTGCCTGACACCGTCTCACCTTGAAGCATAAATGGACCCCCAAGTTCCATAAGTCCCTTGTGTCCCCTGACTGGCAGTAAATAGCTTAACTGATGCCATTGCAGCATACGCTGATGCTTGAGGTTGCTCACCTGTCTTTCACAAAATTGACAGAACTGGCGAATGTGGCCATCTGTAGTGAGGGGATCTGCAACGCACTGAACACATTCATACTCTGCAGGACTTAGGCAGAGACAACAAACCTGGCTTCCTGTACAGAAAAAAAGGACATATGATGTATTGTTTATAGGGTAAGCCAACTATTCAATAACTAAGTACAGAATCCTGTAAGATGTGTATTAGATGACAGAGCTACACATACAGTTATATTTATGGTAGAAACACATAGATAGGAACTATTTTATATGCCTGAGGAACAGACTGCACTGCTGTTAACAGAGCTCAGAAATACAATAGGAACACATTAGTATGCATTTCAGGTGCGGAGAAATACTGTTCTGGTCTGGACATGGTGTGAACAAGCCATAAAGGAGATGTAGGTGATTGTACAATAAGATCATTGTGAGTGCTGGCAATTTCCAGGCCATTTCAACCAGCTTTTAACTGCAAAATGGACCAAAAAATTAAAGCCATCTACCAATGACTATGCCTATGGATCCTGTGAAATAATATAAAGTGTTGGAGGTAGGTTACCTTGATTTGCTCGTTCGGATTTGCATTAAAAGGGATGAAAATTGCTGTGTGTTCGCCCAGCATTAGCCCTAAAACCTCTCCTCCCTGCACAGTTTGTGATAAATAACCCGTGACCTTTCAGCTAATGTTCAGCTAATGTTAATGTTAAAATAACTTATCAGCCTTGATGTATCATCTGTCAGTTAGGGGTTCCCTATAAACATGTAACCCCGCCAAAAATCTGTTTAGATTCAGTTCAATTCTGATTTTTATTCCTTTTGTTTTTCGGATTTCAGATCCGCCCACATTCTTGTTTTGGATCTATTTGGATTGGGTTCTTTAATTATAAATGAACGTAATTATTATAGTTGGTTTTTTTTAGGTCATTTTATTTGTGACACCGTGTGCTCTCCTACTGCTCTCATCGACTCTGTCTACTCCAAAACTATGTGCCTGTAATGCAACCCCTAACAGCCAAAAATAGACTATCCCCCACTCTGATTGCCTTTAGGCGATCCCTTAAGATTCATCTCTTCAGGGAAGCCTATCCCCCCTCAAACTAACTACTCAACCATCATGTTCTCAAACAATTCATCCCCACACAGCTACCTCCTCCTGTATCACCTCCCCCTCCCTTTTAGATTGTAACCCCTCCTTACCATCTTGTCTTGAATTGTATTGTAATTGTAATGTCTTCCTTATATTGTAAAGCGCTGCGCAAACTGTTGGCGCCATATCAATCCTGTATAATAATAATAGCACTCATTGGTCAGAGAACAGTCACATGTCTGATTTAGCTCCGTTTTGAATGACATTCGGACGGATCCGAATTTTCGTTAAACGTTCATTCACACTCAGACGCGCTGGACTTTGGAAATGCGGATGCATCCAAATGTCCGAGTTTAACGAAATTCGTACGAATATCTATTCGGAGCAAAAGGTAATTGACATGTCTAGTTCTCTATATTCCTGCACTAGTTCTAATCACATATGCATAAATGTTATACCAATTTATAATTACTTGTGTAGAGCATATTAGTGATATCCAGTTCCAGGGAAGGAAAAATATAAGGAAACATCTTAAACTTTTTTCCAAATCTTGGCATCTGAAGGATAAGACAGGATGGAACCTAGAGGCAAAGAAACAGACATTAGGTGCTTGCATGCTGCAGACAGCATTTTTTTGGTAGTAAAGCAATGGTCTTACAAAGTGACTACAGACAGCAAGTAGAACTAAGCAGTGCAAGTTTAAGTCAAGCCAGTTTTGGATAGAGTGGGGAAGGATTAGAACCCCTGCCGGATTTTTACTGATATCTCTGTTAAAAGAGATTTCCTTTCACTTCCTGTTCTGCTAAAAATGGTTTCACCAGACAGAAAGTGCAACAGGGACGCACGCGAAAAAAAATATCCCAAAAACTCTTTAGATAACGAGGAGCGCTGGATTACTACTGTGTATTTAAAAGGTTACCATATACATTTTAGTATTGGAGTCAACAGGCAGCTCTATTTGTCTATAAGGAGGGGAGGAAAATAAATAAAAAGACAATACCTTCATATTTATAACAATTACTTATAAATTAATGATTAAAATCTATTTGGACTATTCAACAGAAGATTATTAATGATTATTAATCTAATATTACCCCTATATACCATATTCAGGATCACACAAGTTAATTAATGGTTCATGAACTCTTATATAGACAAAGCGCAAGATATAATGATGGTATTTGACCTATGCAAATTTCGCAAGTTATAGCGTATCAAATGCTTTATAATTAACTCCAAATTATACAGAATTAAAATTATACAGGATGAAAATTAACCATTGGATTTAATTATGAAGGATTTGATACGCTATGACTCATGCTTTTGTGTGTGTGTGTATATATATTTATTTGTTTTAAATATATATACAGTGTATAAATATATATATATATATATATATATATACACATATATATACAATATATATATACATACAATATCTCACAGCAGTGAGTACACCCCTCACATCTTTGTAAATATTTTATGATATCATTTCATGTGAAGACACTGAAGAAAATGACACTTTGCTACAATGTAAAGTAGTGAGTGTACAGCTTGTATATCAGTGTACATTTGCTGTCCCCTCAAAATAACTCAACACACAGCCATTAATGTCTAAACCGCTGGCAACAAAAG